CTTGAGCATCATCTCTGAGGCCGGCCCATCGCAGATGTGCTCCATGATGATCTTCTCAAAGAGTTTCCCTAGGATTGAGGTAAGACTGACAGGCCTATAGTTGTCTGGGTCCTCCCTCCTCCCTTTTTTAAAGATGGGCACCACGTTGGCTATCTTCCAAAGATGTGAGGACTTCTCTCCCTTTGGTACTTAGAAGAGTGCTTTCCAACCTTTCCCTCAGCATGACACCATTTAAACATTGGAAATTTTTTGCAACCCCAAAATGATGCAGACAAGATCAACACCCCCTCCCCCTGAGGACAGCATGGCCAGAGCAGAGCCCGTGGTGGGGGAAGATGCTGGCTGCCTGCTGTGGGCTCGGAGCTCTCCACCCTGCTGCTCTCCACCCCAGGGGCCTCCATGGTCCAGCAGGCAGGACCTGGTGAGGGAGATCAGAGCGGGGATGGGGAGGCTCGGTGCCACTGCTGGGAGCCCAATGCTGGCCACACCACCACGGTGAGGTGCCCTCTGCCCGCCCAGCAGCAGCAGCATAGAGTCATGCCCTTGCTGCTGCCAGGTGGGCAGGGAGCACCTCACCATGACAGCACAGCCAGCGTGGGGTTCCCAGCAGCAGCACTGGGCTTCCACATCCCACTCTGCCTTCCTGCCTGCTGGGCCATGGAGGCCTCAGGGGAAGGGCAGCAGGACAGGGAGCCACAAGCCCACAGTGGGCAGCACACATCCACCCCCCCCATCACCGTGCATAAATCTGGGGAATATGTGCCCCCCTATGCCTCCCTCCCTGGCCATGTGTGCACGGGCAGGGAGCCAGGCCCCCTGCTGCCCCCCAGATGAGCCTCCCATAGCTCCATCCTGTTCTCCCACCTGGGCCCCATGCACTGGCTGGCATTGCCCACAGCCCCAGGCCTGCCCCACTCCTTCCCTCCCTCACCATGGGGGCCACAATCTGTGCTCCCTCCACAATAGACTTACCTGGAGGGAGTGTGGGAGCTGCTCTCCATGCTGCCTGTCTGCCACATGCCTGTGTCTGTTTGCACATGCACATGGTGCCCCAACCTGATCGCCCTCCTCCCACTCCCCCCCCCAACTCCAACTAGCATCTTGCAGGCTGGAACTCTGCCAGTCTGCAAAGGGAACCTGCCATTTCCTGCTTTTTTCTGTGATTTTCATCATAATCAGTAAACACTGTCAAGTGTCTTTACAGTCCCATTTCTTATTGTTACAACCCCAAATGTGCTGACAACCCCAAGGTTGGGAACCACTGGCTTAGAAGATTAAGTACCAGAAAATAATGGCTAACTTCAGATTAACTACCTCCCTCTACTACTGTGAGCCACTGCTTTACAGTGAGGAGTTGAGGGCCCATTAGTTGCTGACTGAACTTAAAAATGTTCAACTGTGCAATATGTCAATAAGATAGCTAGATATGTTTTTTAAAGTTCCACAGGAATTTTCTAATTTCCAGATCTGGCAAATCATCTGCTAATTACTGTGCACACTATGTGCAGATAGGCAGCTGCTTTTTGTTACAATATAATTATAGGATAAGTATTACAAACAGAGGATTTTCTCTTGTCTGAAATGGCACATTTTCCCAACAAATATCAAATAACTTAATGAATAGCAGAGAGACACTTGAATTTAAATATAGGTTGAGAAAATGTGCTTTGGTTGGGATTCTGCTTGTGCTTCACTTCATGTGTTCATTTCATTTGATTAATGCAGCATAGTTTTATCACTTTAAGCATAGGTGCTTGTATGTATGTGTCTGTAATGTCAAAGGACCAAATGAAAAAGACAAATGGAATCACTTATTTTTCTTGCATTCAAAGTGGCAAATTGAGACCAATTATAATCAGGTCAACTGTGCTGCAATAAAGTCAGTATTGCTGAAGCCACTGGAGTTTGACCAACTTATTCCAGCACAGAGTTGGGCAAAATACAGCCTGCACCAGGCACTTTCATCTGGCATGTGGTACCCCGCAATAAATTGTACCCCACCCAGCTCTTCTGCCCAGGAGGGTGGGAGCAAGGTGACCACATTTTCAACGCCCCAACATACCCTATTTTGCCACTCCCACTGTCCTGGGAGCAAGGGCTCTGCCCAGCTAACAGCAGCTTCTGGGTGGGGTTCCTGCTGCAGCCAGCCCATGGGAACCTGCTTGGCTTCCTGGAAGTCCAACTCACTCAGGAAAGCAGGTAGGAAAGTGGTGGGGCTAGTGGGAAGTGTGGGGTGGAGTTGCAGCTGGGAGGAAACAGAGTTCAGCATACAGCCTGCACCCAGAAGGGCAGCAGGAGCACAGAGCTCAGCTGGGCAGGGGGTGAGGGTGAGGGGTGTAGGGACCCTGGTACACTCCCCCCATGGCATGCAGCCCCCTCTGCCGGCAGCAGCAGCAGGCAGACAGGTCAGGGAGCTTGTGCCCAGTACAGGTGCTCAGTTGGGTGTGGCTCCGGCCAGGGCTGCGCACAGTGGGAGAGAGCACTGCCTCTATCGCCAGGGCTCTCCATCATGTACCTGCAGCTCCAGCAGTCGCAAAGCTCCTGTGATAGAGGCAGCCATCGCTGCACTGGGGGCAAGAAGCGCAGCCCCAATGCAGGTGACCTGGCCACCTCTATCACAGGGGCTCAGCATGATGCATCTGCAGCTCCCACACTTGCAGCAGGGAAGCCCCATGCGGGACTCCAGGGGGAAGTAGGGGCAGGGCAGGCAGCAGGCTCCAGCATGGGGCTTCCCCCACTGCAAGTGGAGCTGCAGGCACATGGTGCGGAGCCCCAGCAATAAAAGCAGCTGAGCAGGCTGCACTCCTGACCCTCTCCCCCCGTGCAGCACTGCGCGGAGTTGCACCCCACTGAGCGCCTGCCCTGACCTCCCTGCCTGCTTCTGCTGCCAGGCAGTGAGGGCTGCACACCATGGGGGGAGTTGGTGGGGAGGTCCATACACACCCACCTCCCTCACAGCCCCACACCCTGCCCCAACAACCCCCAATGACATATACATATATCCCAACATACCATATATCCCCCTACACAGCCACACCCTCTCACAACCCCCCACACACTCCCACCCCACCCCACTATACACACACACATACACAATATGAGTGACACTTTATTATTGAGTTATTATGCAATCCCTCCTATATACAGTACACAATCACAAGTCATGACAAATATTTTTTTTAATAAAATTAAAATATATTATAGTAAATCTTTGACTTCTAGTGTATGATTTGGGTTTTTCTGGTTGTAAGATGGCAACCCCCCCCCCCCCCCCC